TGACCAGAAGCTTCGATTTCATCCTCAAAAGAATATGTTTCCCGTGCTTTGAGAATTTCACCATGCCGCGACACTTGATAATTTTCTCCGGACCAGGAATCTCACGCGTTTGATGATAGTTGTACCTTATTCATCTATTGTCTTGTTATTCTGGTCTGGGTTTGGAATATCCTCTACCATGGAGCTGCGAGGAAAGGTCCATCGTTTCCTATCACTTGTTAAGTAAAATAAAATATTGATAATAGGAGCAGATGGCATCAAATATTAACCCAATCCAATGAACTACCTAGTACGGTAGTACCTACTAGTGCATACGATACAAAAAGAGGTGCATCACATATGAAATGTCAAAGCAGGTAGCGAACTCTCAAAGTTTGAATATCATTTGAGCTACGGTCCATGTGTATGTTTTCATTGTACACACTAGGCTTTAGTTATTAGATCTGTGAGGGCCACCCAATAATTCTTACTAACCAACTATTGTATTAGCCATTTGGATTATTTTACCTACAGTTGATGTCTTTTACGTTTGTTGACACTTTATGGTGCAGGGAATGTAACCACCTAGCCGCCAGCCGGCCAGAACAATTGGTCGCTGCATAGTCAAGCCAACAGTACAAGTTTAGCAAATTGAGAGTATTAGATTTGTGCAGTCCGTACACGTTAACTAATTTAATCACTAATACGTTCTTTGATAGGGTCCAAGAGTCACCCATGCATCAAACTTGGTAACACGCCAGAAACAAGCATGTATGCACATGCATGAACCTTGAGGCTTAACCACCCCAAGGTGGAGTCATGCCGCACGACTTTAAAAAGTTTTTTCCAAAAATTTATGCAGTCGGATTTACCGATTCAACGTCTCAAGATGGTAATAGTGTTCAAACATCCATGATGCATATGTCTACCAGAAAAATATGACTGTTGTCTGCTACTGGGTTAATCAAGTTGCGTCTCCATTATAATTTAATTAGCTAGTTCACCCTGTCATGATGTGTGTGTAACAGTCTATGTTGAATATTTTTCAAATTATCGACAAGTAATATGCAAACACCAATGCTTGGCTAGACATCAAGAGCTAAGCGTATATTACATAGGTGACAATTATGGCGGTCCGGTGGTGTGCTTGCCGATCTGTTGGCGGTATTGGGAAGTTGTGCGGCGTGGGGTGTGTTCTTCATCTCCTGGTATAGTGGCTTCACCGGTGGGAACGGCATCTGGAAACACGCGTGTGGTGGGTCATTTTTTGCTACTTTGATAGCACCATTGCCTCACTGCAGCGCAGATGATCCCCGAAAATGCTTAATTTATGGGAGCAGTATTACGGATTGGATGTGCGATATTATGTGTTCTCTTCCCAACTAACCTGATCGTGATTTTCCCCGTGAGCCAAAATGACCGCACTTGTCTTGTAAAACTAGTCTGTAAGAAATTTTTCGTAGATATAGCATTAGTCGATGACCGTCTCTAGTTTCACCAGAAGACTTTGTACTGAAAATTTCTCCTGTCTTGATGATCTTGGCGGCCAGTGTGCCTACAACAAAAGGAGTCACCGGATTGGGTTCACTGTTAAGGACGACGTCACGGCGACTGAAACGTCTGACGCAGGTCGCAGGTATGGCACTACAAGTTTTGACGTCACCTTCTTTCACCATCGAGTATGCTAATATGTCACCTTCTTAAGTTCTTCATGGATGCCAGCCACACACGTCTAGAAGACCTCGACGTCAAAGCGAAGCTCCACTGAACAGTAGACTTGCATGTGCAACATATATGCGAACCCCTTTCAGCACTAGGCTTCCATGTGCATGCTCACGCGCTACTCACATTGGAAGACTTCCACTACTTCAAGCTGGTCAAGCTGGTGCACTAGTGCAGCCTGCAAGTGGCCAGTGAGATCGATTGGCCCGTGCTGGATTGGATGACTCCAAGTCCATCATTAGAAGACTTCTGCTTTATATAAGTGCACCCACCGTTCTTAGTTTGCTCATAAGTAGCATTTGGCCCTACCGAAATACAGGGGCCTAGATTAAAATAGTTTGTTAATCAACAAGTGACGAGCCACACATTTATTTGTCACTAGCACAACACCCTTGTGTTACCCCTGAAAAGAAAAATATAGAAACATTCTTTAAAGAGGTGGTGGGTGACTTGGTCCGGCAGTTAGAGCATCGATGGTCGGTGGCGAAAAAGGATGCCATGGATAGTTAGTTCTAGAACTACAGTGACCCTCGGGAGCATTCTCAATCAAGAGGGATGAATCACTAGATCTTTATGTGGTAATCACTATAACATGTGTAAGTGCGGGATTCTATAACTATGGATGCGTTTGGTTGAAAATGATAGCTTGGACTTTATTCGGCCATTATAGATAATGATTTGACCATATGATTTAAACATATTGGGGAAATAATGTCTGCTCGTCAAGGTCTATATAATGATCACCACACCATTTCACATGCACCCCGGTTACTGGCTTGGAACCTTCGAAATAGTGCACTAGTCTCACATATCATTTGCAATTGTTGAACATCCATTCATTGCTTGTGTGCGGACGGTCCATCTGAAATTAGATCATTTTTTGTTGAACATGGATGAACGGGTACTCCAGCATGCAACCGCGAGCAGTGGATAATTAGCGCTTAACCCCATTAGAAATATGAGAATGCTTCGATCTTCAAGGATTTATTGATCGCACCAATAAAATACAAAAAATATTAAGGGAGCATGAGTCGATTAAGAATCCCATCTGGAGGGACTATATCCTTTGCAGTTGTTCAACAGTGACTCAATGTTTGATGCTGCTCCGCTAGGAATCTAACTAATGAGCAGGCTCACGTGATTATCTATTAATTTCATTGCATACTAATAATGATGATGATGATGATCCTCGCAACAACAACAACAACAACAACAACAACAACAACAACAACAATAATCCTCACAATAATAGAAATAACAACAAGAAGTTAATGCACATAGGTCAAATTATTTCTATGCTGGATCATTATATACCCTGATTGTGTGGTTATGATTGAATCTTCAATAATCCAGTCTAAATGATTTTTGTTAGCCACACATAAAAGTCTTGCATCAGTTATACACCAGAGCAATTGCTTCATTCTACAAACAATTGTTGCTGATAACTATTCTATGAAATTAATAATAGTAGCTATGATGGCCTATGTTAAGAAAAAAATATTGTTATTGTGATTAATTGCCACATGTGATGTCATCATATTGACTGTTGCTTAGTGCTTTTGTCAATACTCCCTCCGTTTCTTTTTAGTCTGCATATAAGGTTCGGTCAAAGTCAAGTTTTGTAAAGTTTGACTAACTTTATATTAAAAAATATAAACATTGACAATATGAAATCAATGTTATCAGATGCACCACAAAATGTATTTTCATACTATATAGTTTTAATATTGTAGATGTTCATTTTTTTATATAAATTTGGTCAAACTTTGTGTAGTTTGACTTTGTCCAAATCTTATATGCGGAGTAAAAAGAAACGGAGGGAGTACCTTCTTAAGGCAAACATTTTACTAGGATAACTATATTTTTCATTTTACTCATTTGAAAAGCCACATTATTTCAAACCGACAAGTTTTTGACTAATTAACTGGAGGTATTTTTTACTATATATACCGTAAGGGAAAAGCCCCATACACCTTCTCCCTTTATTAAGAAAAATATATTACAAGATTACAAACGAAAGGCTATACGCAAATAAAGATGATCCAACTAGGGAGGAAGAAAAGAAATCCACCTCAGAGCTCTATCCTTATGACTAGGCTTAATCCAATACCAAAGCAGGTACATATCTGTTAGTGAAACAATTATAGGCTTAGGCGCGATTTTTTAATTTACAGTAGTGTAGCATATATCCCTATGAAAATATGTAAAATCATCTATGATAAAACACATCACCACCCGCGGGTGGCTTATATATGTAGAACTGCCTTTGATGGGCCTCTTCGGTGATCTTCCTGTGATGGTCCTCTTCAATGATGGTTTTCCTATCGTCTTGTGCTGACTTGAGCTAACTGACCAATATGCACAAGCAGTTAGGAAAACTGTGGGGAACTAGGTTTTTGACTCGTATGTTAGTTATCCCATGACTGTACTAGTGATATAGAATGTAACGTGTCTTCTATATTTCATCTCCTTCCAGGTACATATGGTTCTGGTCCTGAAGCAAATTTGAGCTTCTTCCTTCAAGAAATAAAAGCATCCTACCAATTACATCTCCGTTGAAGTTTAGCGCAAATTGACTACCTACCAGATGTACAAAAGGGTTTCTACGTCGCTAATTTGGTCAAAATCCTTGTTACACTATTGCTGCTCAGGAAGTGTCCTAAATCTTCTCCAAGGCTTGGATAATGTCATCCCTAAGATCCTCAAACTTCTCAATCCCGAAGCTGAACCGCACCAAGTTGTCCTTGATCCCATTCTTGGCCTTTTCGTCATCACTCTGACCCCTGATGAAAACAAAAATTCATGCAATATAAGTCAAAAAAAATTCCACCATACATGTTGCATGCATCTTCTTGTAAGTTTGTATTAAGTTGCAAATGTAAATTGATCCAAAAAAGTGACGTACCAGAAGGACATGACTGCCGGATGCTGCACGAGGCTCTCGCACCCGCCGAGGGACGTCGCGATGAAGGGTATCTCCAGGGCATCGACAAACCTCATGACGCCATGCAGGTCCGAGGCTACCTCGAAGCTGATGACTCCACCGAAACCAGTCATCTGGCTATTGGCAATGTCGTGCCACGGGCTGCTTAGGAGCCCAGGGTAGTACACTCGCTCGATCTTGGGATGGTTCTCGAGCAGGCGCACCATGCGCAATGAAGTTTGGTTTTGTGTCTCCACGCGTAGTGCCATTGTCTTGAGGCCACGTATGGTCATGTAGGCTGCGTCCTGTAGTAATTAGGTTGCAGTGTAAGTGGTTAGTTTCAATTAACTCAAATGTTAACATCTAGTTTTCCTTGAATAATAATGAGTGTTAATTAACATGTAGTACTACATGATAGATACTACATACCGGACTAATGGCGCCACCAAGGTCGTGATGCCACGCGCGTATTCTGGAGATGAGCGCCTCAGAGCCACTGATGCATCCTGCGATGACCTGAAATGGAATGGCACGATGAGATCTTGGAAATTAAGTAGCAAAATGGTGGTGCAATTATCTGAGAGCAAAGATGTTTACTCACGTCATGATGTCCTGCGATGTACTTTGTGGCGGAGTGCACGACGATGTCAGCCCCGAGGGTGAGTGGCTTCTGGTTGATGGGCGAGGCGAGTGTGCTGTCAATGCACACCAGAGCCCCTCTCCGGTGGCACAGATCGGCGACGAGCTTAATGTCGATGCACTTGAGATGGGGGTTCGTCGGACAGTCGGTATAGAAGAGTGTCACCTGCATCAAAGCCAATCATCTCGATCAGAAACAGCCGACATAACTTGTTGATAAATTGAGCAAATTACAAGTTGCTAAATTAACGTACGTCGCTCTGGTCAAGAACGGCCTTGAGTGTCTCCATGTCGTTCAGCTCGACGAATGTCACCTTGATGCCCATCTTGGAGAGCTTGTCGCGGATGAAGGTGCGTGCCTCGCTGTAGCACTCGGTCGTGGTCACCACGTGGCCGGCGCCGGGCGGTACGAGGGCGAGCAGTGTGGCGACGATGGCGTTCATGCCTGAGGACGTGACAAGCGTCGACTCGGCCCTCTCCAGCGCGCTGATCTTGTCCTCCGGGACCTTCACAGTGGGGTTGCCATAGCGGCCGTACTCGAAGCTGTGGCGCCGGCCTTCCCTGAACGCGATGAGGTCGTCCGAGCTCTTGAACCAGTGTGTCGTGCCGCTCACGATAGGTGTTACGATCGAGTCTGTGTCCATGGCGCCGTTCTTCCCCATCTTCTCCCCGGCGTGAACCGCCAGCGTCTCGTCTGAGACAGTAGCATCTCGCTTCGGAGCCGTGGCGGCAGCGACGACACCGGCGTCATCCTGCTGCAACACTGGGAAGGTGGCATCAAGGAGCGCTTCCGGGCTCAAAGCGGTGACGCGCTTTGAAGAACGACGAGCACGGAGCAGGCGGCGCTGCTCGGTGGGCGAAGCCTTGTTGACGAGAGGAGAAGACGACCGCGCCATTAGTAATTTGTGGGGTCGAGGGAGAGGAGTGAAAACAGGTGGAATCGAAGAGATTAGCCAAGCTCAGATAGGATCAATGAACAAGTTAGGCAGAGCTAGCTGCTCGTTTGTGTTCTTGCTATCTGTGTATACGATGGTGGTAATATATACTGCCGATCGATCAGTCTGGCTCTGTGCGCGTCCATCCATATCTACGTGTCTGCCAACATATAATATCGTCCCACTAGCACATGCCACATGTGGCATCCATGCCCACTCTCGCAAGCGTGTAATTAAGCCGCGTGGTAATTAAGATGTACCAGTGGATGCATGATTAATCTACTAAATAAGGCATGCGATTACTTAACTGCAGCGTGCCAGTGGGATTAAGAAATACTGACCTGGGCCACCACGAATCTAAGCGAAGTCATACGTCAAACCTGCGTGTTTACATCTACAAAGCCGTGCTGTGATCGATGCTACGCGCTGGAGAAGACCTCATTAAACAAATTTGGGTTTGGCGGATACCTCGCTAGATTTGAGGGAACAAACAAAACCAGTCTGGTAGCATCAAACGGAAACCTAGGCATGCAACCACTGGTGTTGAAACGGTTTTGAAGGCGGTTCAATATCTGTCCGTGTTTTGCCATAGAATGGGTCGGATGAAATGAAAAACTAGGCATTCAGACTCAACTGGTATTCGTGCAAGGTAACCGTGCACACAATATTATTTTCTTGTAGAGCAAATTAAAAGGCGCTCCTGTCGATTTCCACGAGAGAAACCACGAACAGTTTTGACAAAGTCTTATAAGAAAAGAATGAAAAATCAACAGGAAATAATGGATCTTTCCTATGTCCATTAATGACCTTGGAACTCTACACAATTTCTCGAAAAGCAAGCCAGAAGTTTGAGCTATCATTGCTCGTTCCAAAAAACTTTGACGACTGTGCCCAGCCATGGCTCTTCACGAACGGGTAAGTAACCACTATCTCGATTAGCTTCACTTCTTCAAGGCTTGTTCGACCTTGGATATTATTCAACAACACCCATGAATCAATCAATATGATCGCCATCTTTGGCCTCTCCCCCCCACCCCCCTCCCACAAGCTCAATCGGCACTGTGTCGTCACCCACCTCCACCGTGTTGTAGCATCACATTGGTACTTATCATGGCCTAAAGCAATATACCATGAGATATTTATGTAAGTTTACCTTTACTAGCAAAAGAGCTCGTGCGTTGCAACGGGAGAGAAAACATAACACATGCTCTTAACTTAACAACCATCACTCAAGACCACAATAGGTCCATCTCCTTTATTTTTGCGAGGCATCATATTTGTGTTGCCGCTTATCCTTCTTCTCACCCTCGCCGGCGATGGCCTCGGTGTTCACACAAAACAACAAGAAACGTGCGTTCAATATGGTTAATCCTAAGACGTCTCTCTCTCCCTCTCTCTCCTCTCTCTCTCTCTCTCTCACTCACTCTCGTGATGAGAAATTTGTTGTTTTTCTCTGCGACATTTTTCAGAGGTATGCATGTGTAGTTATCGATGTTTTCCTTTCCCTATATGCTTATAGTGGGGTGTTTATTTGCAATCCGGATCGCCGCCGGTATGAAAAAACGGATCTTGCACTATAAATTATAAGTTTTCTTCCATAACAATATTTTAAAAATATTTAACAGGTAAAATTAACATCATATTTAGATTCCACACATTTTTCTAATAAAATTTCATATATATAATATGTTAAAATCAAAGTTACGGTTTAAAAGATACAGATAATTTAGAAAATCATTTGGTTTGACTCAAATATATTCCAAAATAATATTTTAAAATACTTAACAGGTAAAAATAATCCCATATTCATATTCTACATATTTTTCTAATCAAATTTCATATATAACATGTTCAAATCGGAATTACGGTTTAAAAGATATGGATGATTTTAAAAAGCATTTGTTTGACTTAAATATGATCCGCGGATGAATTACTTAAAACATCAGGGTTTTTTTCGAAAAATGTAAAACGATTCGGGTGTGACTTAAATCCAGACGGCGGGTTGATTTCAAGAAAAGATAGGGACTTTTGTGTAAAATATGAAAATAACGATTCGTTTTGACTTAAAATGGGACTGGGGGTTGAATTCGCTGAAATAGAGAGACTTTTCTGAAAAATGCTATGACGGACGAAAGAAACTCAATTTGCTTTATTATTAGGTAAAGATGGCACATGGTCATGTAAAGAATGCCAAGGTTTTCACTGTAATCTGCCAAGTGGCATGACATGCAAATACTCCAAACTATTTCTACTGTTAATAAACAGGCACATCCACCCATTCTAAGGAGTTTTTTTGGTAGATAAAAATATTTACTTATGATGTTTTCATATTCATCCTTAAGGCATGTGATCGCTTAACGACAACATGATAGTGCGATTAAGAAATACTGACCTAGGCAAAGACGAATCTAAGCGAAGTCGTTCGCCAAACGTGTGTGTTTACATCTACAATGTCATACTGTGATCGATGCTACGCGCTGGAGAAGACCTCATTAAACAAATTTGGGTTTATAGGGCTTATCTCAAAAGAAATTATTTTTACGTTTTATAAAGCTCAATTTTATTGCTTCCCATCACATGTTCACATTTTGAGATGCATTAAATCCCTCAATGCAAATATTAAGAGAAACCTCACCAATACGTGTAAAATTCCTTGCTCAATTATTGCCCACGCATGCATGCATTGCAATTAATGCACTGGTAAACGCAGTTTTTTGATAAAACAAGCACACTCATTGAGTACTTTTGCAAACTACAAAAATTATTGCACCACTCACCGTCTGCCTTGATTTGTGAGATTTTGAATTGAGCCATATAAACTAGAAGAGAGGGAGTACCTCGCTAGAATTAATGGATCTACAAGGAGAAAACAACGAAAAGAAAAGAAAAATTCTTGAGAATCAATGTTCAACTGCAAAGAATAGTAATCCATGTTCATCAACTGCAGAAGAAATGTACACTGCACCGATGAATGAGTGCCTAGCTATGTAATGCATCTATATTCAAGTTTGTTTGAAAAGATAGAGCTAGAAATCAGCAAATTTGTGAGCTGAATACTAGTGTTTGATTTTGAAGGTTCCAAGTCAGTAAGCAAGGTGCATGCGAAGTGGCATGGTACCACGAGCAGAACTCTTTTTCTCTCAAAAATTATTTGAATCATTTACTAGACGCAGTTCCTATTGGTCGAGTAAAACCTGAGGTATCATCTCCAAGCAACTGTGTTAATAGTCTAGAGGATATGATCATGCACTTCCGCACAACACACGAATGAGGACCACATACGGAGCGAGTGCTTCATCCCTCGTGATCGAGACAACGCCGAGAGTTGTAGCATAGTCTATAGGGATGTAAATGGTCAATAAACGGCGCCCACAAGTCCCATTTAGTTAGTTTTAGTTAGCTTTGACAGTTCATTTTTCCTAGAAAAACAAACTTTATTGAACCGTTAGATCGATAAATGGGCTTAAACGGGATTAAACTGGACTGAGTTTACATCCCCAAGGCTCGTCATAGTGGGATAGTGGGAGTAACTTAACTAGTAACATAACACACCCCAACATAAGTTCACCTATGTGGCATGTAGTTAATAAGAAAAGAGGTATTTGGTGTAACATAATATATTACCATCAGATAGCAGTTTTCAAGGTAAGATGAGTCTACAAGCTAATAAATACAACCCCTTATGACACTACTTCTATGTTACTTCCCACAATGAAGGTTGTAGTAAAATAGACTAGTGTCATATGCATGACAATAGTGTATGTTACTCCACACTATGACTAGCCTAAGACTGGTCATAGTGAGAGTAACATAAATAGTAACATAGATGCCACATAAGACTACCCACAATGGGAGTAACATAGATGGTAACATCACATTTATCTAGGCAAAATAGATGATGTGACATGTAATTAATGAAGAAAGAGATGCATGTGGTAACATAGCTAGTTACTGTAACATCACACATATCAAGAAAAGATGAGTCTACAACATAATAAATGAAGTGATGTATGACACTAAACATATGTTACTACCCACTATGAAGGTAGTAACATATGCATGTTACTACTCTAAGTTACTTCCCATTGTGACCAGTCTAAGCAAAATTAGTGAGATGACAAGTAGTTAATGAGGAGAGAGGCAAATAAAGTAACATAATATGTTAGCATCAAATAGCGCTTCCCGATGCAAAATGAGTCTACAAAGTAATAAATGAACATACCTATGTTACTCTCCACTACTCTCTCCTTTTCGGTTTATAGGGCTTATCTCAAAATTTTAGTTTTTCCATCTTATAAGGCTCAATTTCGTTGTTTCCCATCACAAGTTCAGATTCCAAGGTGCATTAAATGATTGAATACAAGTATTAAGAGAAAATTGACCAATGCATGTACTTTATGCATGCATGCATTGCAATTAATGCATTGGTAAATATAATTTTTTTGAGAAAAACAAAAACATTAATTTGATGCTTTTGCAAACTACAAAAAATATTCCACCACTCACTATCTACCTTGATTGATGAGATTTTTGAATTGAGCCATATAAACCGAAAAGAAGGGAGTATGACCAGCATAATAGTCCGGTGAACCACGTGCGCCCAGTCCATCATCTCCTTTTTGCCACTGGTCATCGGTTGGCGGGACTAGCTCAGCCGCCGCCTCTATAAAGAATGTTCCTACATCTATTTATTTTCCATGGCAACACAAGGGTGTTATGCTAGTGACAAATCAACACGTGGTTGGTCACTTTGTTGCACGACTAACTATTTAATCCGGACCCCTGTATTTCGGGTCTAATACTACTTGTAAGCAAAGTATTTTGGCTTGTTGTATGAAGTCTTCCGAAGGACTTGGGAGTCATCCAGCCCAGCAGCGGGCTATATCGATCTCATTTGCCAACTTGCACGCTGCACGGCACCAGCTTGAGCAGCCTGGATCCAACCTTGGAATTAGAGCGTG